ACAAACAGGATGCTGAATCAGATTTCAAAATATAATATTTGATAAGAAGCTGAAGAGATCTACATTAGAAAAACACAAATAAAATAAATCACAAGACAACCTTCGACTCTGGGATCTTGTGATAAAAATCGCCATTTTCTTGCTTAAACTAATAAATTAACAGGTATTTGAAAACTCTGGTAGCTGCATTCCTAAAATCTGTGACGATCCAGAAAAACGAGGTCATGTTTTCCATGTTTGAGAACGTTAAGTAAATAATGCATCAGTAAGGAGCTTAGGCAGGCATTTTGCTGCCAAACCCATGTTTTATTCATGCTCACCGTGACACATTTTATTCCATCTTGCACACACACCAACCCCCMTCTCCCACAAAGACCAAACCCATACGGCTTCTATCCTGACGTTTAGCTTTATTGTCCGATGCTGTTGGGAAGTTTCTGTCGGTTCACGACCAGCCTTGGATTCCTCTGRACTTCCTGGCTGCCTAGCAACTCCGAGGAATGGACAATACCGCCCGTCTGCTCTGCGGGCCCTCACTACTCGTGTTTTTGGAAAAGAAAAGGTACCTCAGCCCCCCGGTGGTGAGAGGGTCCATAGTCGGTGTACAAGTGGAGATTTACAGCTTTATCCAAAATCTGAATGGGGAACATTCAGTTCCACAAAATACATAAAAGTTTATCTGAAATCTTGTCAGTAATTCRGTTTTAAACAAGGAGGACTACTTTGGTTTTGGTTTTACTTGGAGRAACTCTTTTCCCATGGTCCCAAAGTTGTGCTGGGAAGTAAAAAAAAAAAAGCCTGATTCAGTACCATCCAGGAGCTCCATTGTTAGAGAGAGAATCCCTCTCTGGCTTTGCAAAGCAAAGCCCTTCAGAGCTGAACAAGCAGAAAACCAGCACAGCTTCCAGTTTATTCCTTCAGCATGGTTCGCTGCATTATTAAAGCTGACAGAGTCAGGGGGAGTCGGCACAAGGCCAGGTCAGTGACGGGGTCATACAGAGAGCCTCAAAGGTCCCGAGTGCTTAGGACCCTCTTAAAATGTCCAGTTCTTATTGCAGTCTGATGTCATAGAATCAAATAAACGAGTTCCCCGTCTAACAAGAGCAGTCAACTCACAAAATTATTTTCTCAACACAAAAACATTAAATAATAGTGACTGGTTGCAAATAGTGGACAAAAGTAATTCACAATAATTCCTGCATTAAAACCATCACGAYTCATGCATAAATTAAGCATAAATCACATATTGTATGAATTATGACTGATGACATCATCACTTAAATTTTTTATATTTATTTCTAAAAGTAGTTTCAGAGTTGTTGCGGGAATCTCTGATCC